TGAGCGGAAGTCGGACGCTCAACCGACTGAGCCACCCAGGCGCCTCCAGACTGGATAATCTTAATTTACATATCTTCATGGTCATTTTTTCTTTTTTTGGCCTATTGAAATCTTATGTTGAACCCCTCTAAAATTCAGTGAATTTTGAATTTCAGTTATTGTGCTTGCCAGCAACAGGATTTGTATTTGGTTCCTTTTTGTAATTTTTGTCTCTTTTTTTAATTAAAAAAATTTCTTTTCTATTATTTATTTTTGAGAGAGAGACAAAGTGTGAGCACGGGAGGGGCAAAGAGAGAGGGAGACACAGAATCCAAAGCAGGTACCAGGCTCTGAGCTGTCAGCACAGCCTGACACAAGGCTCGCTTGAACTTACAAGCTGTGAGATCATGACCTGAGCTCAAGTTGGACGCTTAGCCGACTGAGCTACCCAAGTGCCCCAGACTGGATAATCCTAATTTACTTACCTTCATGGTCATTTATTCATTTTTTTGGCCTGTTGAAATCTTATGTTGAACCCCTCTAAAATTCAGTGAATTTTGAATTTCGGTTCTTTTGCTTTTCAGCAACAGGATTTGTATTTGTTCCTTTTTATAATTTTTGTCTTTTTTTAAAAAAGTTTTTAAATTTTTTTTTATTATTTAGTTTTGGGGGAGAGAGAGAGAGAGAGTGAGTGAGTGAGGAAGGGTCAGAGAGAGAGGGAGACACAGAATCTGAAGCAGGCTCCAGGCTCTGAACTGTCAGCACAGAGCCTGACATGGGGTTCGAACTCAAGTTGTGAGATCTTGACCTGAGCCGAAGCTGGATGCTTAACTGACTGAGCCACCCAGACGTCCCAGTAATTTTTGTCTCTTTATTGTTATTTTCTATTTATTGATATGCTGTTTCCTGGTTTTCTTTAGTTTTTGTCCATGGTTTCTGTTAGCTCTTTATCATATTTATGATAGTTGATTTTTCTAGTAAGTAATGTCTGGGCTTCCTCGGGGACTCTTTCTATTAACTTTTTTTCTTTCTGTGAATGGGCCATACGTGTTTCTTTACGTGCCTAATAATTTTTTAATGAAAGATTTTCTTCAAAAGTAGGTACTTTGCATCTTGAAGTATGGTGGCTCTGGAAATCAGAGTATTTCCCCCCTCCCCAGGGTTTGTGTTGTTCCATATTGTGGGGTGCAGCCATCTACTTGTTTAATGACTTTTCTAAATGATTTTTGCAGACTATATTCCTTGTTATATGTGAGGAGTAAAGTGTGCATTCCATTATCTTAGCTGTCAGGCAGAAGCCTGATAAGATTTCTTTAAATGACAGAATGGCAGCCCTTTTCTTCATTAAGCACTGTCCTGATTAGAGTAAGTTTCTGATTAGGTTCTGGAGTTCTATAAAAGAGTCTTACGTTTTTTGCCAGCTTAATAATTTCAGTGGAAGAATGGATCCTAGGAGTTCCATATTCTCCCATTTTTGGTGTTGTCCTCAAATGTCATACATTTTGGTTTGTGATTTCATTATAATTCAGTTCACAGTAATTTCTATTAATTTTGCTTCTGATTTCTTCTTAGTTTCATGGGTAATTTAGAAATGTAGTGTTTAATTTCCAAGTATTTGTGGAATCCTGAATTTTTGTTTTGATTTTGGATTTTAAAAATTCCACTGTGTTAGGGGTATCTGGGTGGCTTAGTTGGTTGAGCGTCTGACTTCAGCTCAGGTCGTGATCTTGTGGTTTGTGGGTTTGAGCCCTGCATCGGGCCCTGTGCCCTCAGCTCGGAGCCTGGAGCCTGCTTTGGATTCTATGGCTCCCTCTCTCTGTGCCCTTTCCCTGCTCGCTCTCTCTTTCTGTCTCTCAAAAAATAAATAACAGTAAAAAAAATTAAAGATAAAAATCTATCATGTTGGAGAACACACTCTGTATGATTTCAGTCCTAAAGTTCTTCAAGGTATGGTTTGTGGGTGAAATTGGGCCTGTTGCCTGACTTTGTATGGCTGGTAAACTGTGAGTAATTTTACGTTTTTAAGTGGTTTAAAAAATTTACAAGTAGAATCGTATTTCTTAACTCGTGAAAATCATGTGAAGTTCAAATTTCAGTGTCCATAAGTAGTTTTACTGGTGTACAATTATACTTACCTGCATACATATTGTCTATGGATACTTTCATTCTACAAAAACAGAATTGAGTAATTAAGACAGTGTCCATGTGGCCTGCAAAGACTAAAATATTTACTGGCTCTTTAAAAAATAATTTTTTTATGTTTATTTATTTTTGAGAGAGAGATAGAATGTGAGCAGGGGAGGGTCAGAGAGAGAGAGGGAGACACAAATCTGAAGCAGGCTCCAGGCTCTTAGCTGTCAGTTCAGAGCCTGACATGGGGCTTGAACTCAGGAATGGTGAGATCATGACCTGAGCTGAAGTTGGATGCTTAACCCACTGAGACACCCAGGTGCCCCTGACTCTTTTTTTAATGTTTATTTTTGAAAGAGGGAGAGAAGGGGGGGTGGACAGAGAGGGGAGAGACAGGAGACAGAGGATCCAAAGGAGGCTATGTGCTATCTGCAGAGGGCCCTACTGTGAGATCATGACCTGAGCCAAAATCAAGAGTTGGACACTTAACCAACTGAGCTACCCAGGCGCCCCTTACTGACTTGTAATGAAAGGGTTTGCTTACCCTTAGTTTATTTTTTTTAATGTTTATTTATTTTGAGAAAGAGAGACATAGCGAGCAGGGGTGGGGCAGAGAGAGAGGGAGACAGAGAATCCCAAGCAGGCTCCTCACTGCCAGCATGGAGCCTGATGTGGGGCTCAAACCCATGAATCTCGAGATCATGACCTGAGCCAAAACCAAGAGTCTGATGCTTAACCAACTGAGCCGCCCAGGTTCTCCTACCCTTAGTTTAAACAAACATCCCTTGTACCTGTTACTCTATATTATGCTATCACCACAATAGCACTCAACAATAATTGAGAAAAGATTTTATGCTATAGCATTTCTCTTAAACATGAGTAAATATATTCTTTCTGCATCTTACCATTTTGCCCATTTGAAAGGCAGAGATAAAAGCACACAACAAAAATATTGGTGACTGATATATGAGGAAAACTACAACTATCTTATGCAAATAAT